AGTTCTGCTTAAACATTTTAAAAAATGTGTTATGTATTTTTCTTTGAACATGTGGTCTCTCTGCCTGCAAACATACAGAATTTTAGTTTTGATTTACATAGAGTTAGCTATGGACATATATTACTCTAAAAATAAACCATAGGTGCAAGAAAATTATAGAGTAAGTGTGTTTGGGTGAGTATGAGTTTGTACCTGTTTTCAGAAGAACAGAGCAATATTGGAACAAAACAAATATTTTAATAAGGTGACTAATTTACTAGAAAACTGAAAACCTCAAAAATGCTGAAAGCAAATCTATACTCTGCTTTTTATTAAATTCATTACTGTAAAATCTTCTGACTTATGATTCAGAATTTTCTGTTTTTCTTTGCCTAATTCTTATGCTAGACTTATAATTCTCTTGTCTCTTATAATTTTTTTTTATAGTTTATGAGGTATTCATTATGTGAGCTGGTCATGACTAATAAGAATGATTTTTATAAAATTTAGTAGTGCACACAAAACAATTTTTAGATGTATTTCCAAAACTGTGTATTATATGTTATTTAATTAGGACATTCCATTTGTTCTTTTACTCGAAGAATTCTACATAAGCCTATTTTTTTTTTACTTAGTTTATTCTCATTATAATTGACATAAGCAGATTTATATATTTATTGAGTCAATTTGTTCAAGAAAGAACTAGGGATGCTTCACAAGTCATGAGGATGTTTTTTATATATAAATGTAGCAAACAAACATACAATACTTGCTGTGTAACAAATGCTCCATGATAAGCCATAAATATTCCTGCTACAGTTAGTTTGTAAGTTCAAGTCAGAGAAGGAAAATATTAATAGTGAAGAAATAAGATTGATTCTTCATGTGGAGATAACATTTTTCCATGCTGAAAAGCTAAATCTTGCTGAATTTAAAGAGAAATTCTGTTTATTTTATTTCCTAGTTATCTTTAGTTTTGTTTGTCCTATTATGTGTCTTCTAACTGTGTATTCATCACAGCCCTTCTTTTTCTATGAGATGGCTACAGTTTTCTCACTGTTGTCTTCATGCTATGTCATTTTACATGGTACTTTGTAGGTTGTGATGAGAAAGTTGGTATTTTTAATGCACTCAAAAATTGGTTTTAACTAGAGAGTTTGCTTATCAATATAACTTTCACATCAGTTAATTAAGATAAAAGGCAAACACTGTCCACAGGTGAGAGGATTAAATAACTTAGCATTGTTTTTCTCTGCTTGTAAAAGGAAAATCTTATTAAATTCTTACACAGGTGAGGCGTGGTGGCTCACGCCTGTAATCCCAGCACTTTGGGAGGCCAAGGCAGGTGGATCACGAGGTCAGGAGTTTGAGACCAGCCTTACCAACATGGTGAAACCCCATCTCTAACGAAAAACACAAAAATCAGCCGGGCGTGGTGGCACAGGCCTGTAGTCCCAGCTTCTCAGGAGACTGAGGCAGGAGAATTGCTTGAACCCAGGAGG